CCCAGAAGCATTTATGTTGAAAATAAAAAGGTTTTAGACTAAATTTAGTTAGGACAAAATTTAGATCTATTATATTGTTGATATATGCAATAGTGGTGTTCTGACAAAAATTTTGCTCTTAATTTCTTCTTCCCTCATACCAAAGCAAAATTCCTGACATATGCCATGAATAAATAAAATAGAATTACAATCTGTAATGTGACAAGGATTCTCTGTGCTCAAAACAGATGATGATGATGATCATCATCATTATCATCATGAGGACAACAATGACAATGATAATGATGATAACCAAAAATCTGTTTTTAATCGCTCATTCTTCTCTCGCTTAATATTTGATACTTAAAAATAGCTTTAATTGAATTTTGGAAATGGATTACATTTCTCTTGAAGGCAGAGAATGAATACCACTAACATTATAGTGTACAGTCAGTTTTCTGGATGATAGCACATTAGAATTACTATTACAAAACTTGGATTGAAAGAAATCTAGTATCTCTGTTATAGGGTGCAAATGGGTTTACATAGGAGACAGATGGGATTTTGTTCATTTTCAAAACTAGTGAAGAACAAGAAAAGCTGATCCTTTTCCAAGCCTCTAGAGAAAGAAAGAAAGAAAGAAAGAAAGGCTGAAATTGGAGCTGAAGTAGCCCCCTTCAAGGCCAACTATTAAAGGGAAAAACTTCTAGGAAAGCCTTCCTCTGTTCCTTCAGTCCTGGATGAAAGTCTTTGGTGAGTTATTTTGGAGTCATCTTTTATGTCCACGGTTTTAGAAAGGAGATCAATCATAATGGCTTTCTTAAAAAGCAGTTCATCTGTCTTAATATTTTGTCAAGGTTTTGGTATCGTGAAGAGGAATATGTTACATGAAGTTTACAGTTTGTTTTGTCACTGCTGATTTCTGTGGGTGGTTATTTCTGGATATTGTGTGAGCATTCTATAGTATATCTAGATGTTGTGGAACATTTGTTAAATGTATACTGCACCACACACAGAGGTAATATTGTTAATTCAATACCATGTCATTCTGGACAAGATGACATTAACTGGACATATTTCTGAGTGGTAAGCCCATCATATTAATATTACGGTCAGCTGGTATTCTGACAATGCCATTTTTCATGAATACAGTGAGAGGAAACAGCGATATGCTCCTCACTGGGAACTTCGGTATGCTTTCCTGTTTACATACTTAGTCTGAAATATAATCCTCCCTTGTATTATACAAAACCATTCTATACTGAAGATGGAGGCAAAAGATTCTTTGAAATATTGGAAATGACGTTATGATCCAGAAGTCTATATAGAATGTGGAGTGCTGTCATTTCCCAAAGATTTACTAAACAACACTTTTTCTTACCAAAGTTGCAGATGACTAAGCAAAATTCTTTGGAAGGGTGCTGAATGTACTGAGATGCTTGGTACCTTGCCAGGAAGGCATATGCATTCTTAACTTCAGCTGTATGTTTGAGATATGCAGCAGGAAAATAAATTGTAGAATGAAACTAAATTGTAAAACTTATGTACTTCTAAATATTAGTTTCACAATGGACTTCGTCTACTTACTTGCATTGGAAAGAGATTGTGAGATAAATGCATCAGACATTCAAACCTGACATAGAATTTGTAAAAATCTGTATCACTAACATCCAAAATTTGCAGGCGCAAGAGAGACAGTTTCATATTTTGACTTGTTATAAAATTTACTTTGCAAATCGCCATAAAAATATCATTCAAATACTAGTTTCCATTCCTACCAACCTTTAGTAGCCAAACAAGACAAATATCTGTTGTTAAGAGAGAAGAGACCCCACTTATACCCCTGTATACTTGTACAGGGTAGCTCAGTCATGTTACTTGTCTAAATATTGGATAACTTGAAATTTATTTTCATCAACATGCCTACACTAACTTTAGGATCCATACACCTCCTGTTCAGTGGACAAAGGGAACTCTTCATCCATGGATGAAATGTTCAGAATGTAGCTGACCACTCACCTAAAACTAATGCTGAGGAAAGAGTGCTGCTTCATGCAGAGCGTGGTGCTTAATCACAGAAGCAACTTTACGTCTCTCTCGACTCCAGCTTACAATAGCTCCTATATTAGTGGAGCAAATGTACTGAAATAATATCACAGTACTGTGATGTAAAAACTGGTGCTTGCAAAAGGAACCCTCTCTGTGTTAAAGATTAACCTTCATATATATAGGATTTGAGGTTCTTACAGTAATGGTTATGAAGATTTCTATCTTCCGGGTTATAATAACTTGTAGTCTGTGGAAAGCAAACTGATGTTTCAGAGGAATGTATCACCTCCATCTACAGGGTAGAGGAATAAGCCATGCCAAAACGTTGGTTGACTTTCAGTATCCCAGATAACAGAACTATCCATAACATTCACATGTTTTTTTCTGCAAAAAAGTTTATAGTCTGACTGGCACAAAGTGTAATATACTTGTGTAGTATAAAAAATGTGCAATATACTTGTACTGTATGTAATTTAAATGTCTATTAATATTCTTTGCTGTATTGTGATTACTAAAACACTAATAAAATATAATTCATGTATCCATGCACTTGTTCCTTTACCAAAGTGTCATATGGTTGTTACTGTTATTATTAATATTGTTGCTATTTGGTTTATTTATGAAGTCTGGTTCTAGTTTTTCCTCTACACAACCATTTCCAGACCAGGTCTGGGCTTGTAGCCTGTGTCCCAGGAGTAAAGCAGATGGAGTACATAGCTGGCCACTCATGGCCACCCACTGCCAAGGTCTGCAATGGCTGGAGTTTTACATCCACTCTCTCTATATGCTTCTACACATGGCCTACTTTACATATGACTCTGTCCATACACCGATGATGAGAAATCTCATCTCAAGTTTTAAATGACATTTATCATCATCATAATAATTTTTCAGATATAGCATTTGATTAACACTTGTGACAGTCACAAAAAGTGACAAATATTATGTTAACCTAACATAGGGTTTAACATTGTTTGTACATATCTCATGGAGTGAGACTGCGGCCACGGTTTGGCCTCTTGTACCGGCCCCAGATGATAGATGATGATGAGTGTGAAGCAATTGTGGAATGCAAATTGGCAGGAGAAACCATAGTACTTGGAGAAAACCTGCCAAGGGCCACTTCGCCCGCCACAAATCCCACATGACCTGACCAGGGCTCAAACCTGGACCACCTCAGTGGGAAGCCGCTGACTGACTGCCTCAGCTATGGGACGGTTTGTTTGTGCAATTAATAAAATCTGTCCTTTTGTTGACAATGTATAGCAATGAATAGTTTATAATATTTGTGTCTTGTTGTACAATTTATTTGGGACTGTTTGTGTTTCAGATATATAGGTACTGTCTGAAGCATTAATGGTGCCATGTGTGTTGAAGCTTCTCAGCTAGTGGAACATGCCTTTCAGTTCTCTACGGACCATTTCAGATGTTGCTATTTTGGATGTCTATAAAGAGTGACATGCAACAGATTGTAACATAGCATGTCAAACAAGCAAAAGTAAATAAAGAACAACAGCTATATGAAGACTCAGATAAGACAGAATTCAGGTTGTGCTGAGAATACACTGGAGCAGAGCCCTTCAACGCTGATACTCAGGAAATTGTCAGTTTTATGTAATATAAAGGACTGTTGCTGTATGAAAAGGGACTGCCACTGGTCCCTATTCTTAACCCAGTGAATTCACCTCACATCTTCCCATACTATTTCTTTAAGGTCTATTTTAATGTGCACAGGAACTAAGATGTTATGGATCCTCTCCATTTATGTTATAAGAACTACTATCTTTACAAATGTGGTATAACTTAGTTAAAATTAGTTTTATCAGGTTGCAAAATTAAGTAGTTCATGTATGAAGAAAGAAGTCTTCTGGGATTTGGCACCGTGTATATGTGGTGTTAACCGACGTTACGGAGGAACGTATCGCCCCCATCTTCAGGGTAGAAGAAAAAGTATAAGAAATCTGCAAGCGACAACACCGTGAGAAACGGTAATGTCACTTGCAGATTTCTTATACTTTTTCTTCTACCCTGAAGATGGGGGCAATACGTTCCTCCGAAACGTCGGTTAACACCACATATACACGGTGCCAAATCCCAGAAGACTGCTTTCTTCATAGTCACCGCCGTGAAAGCCTCAAATCTTACACAGTTCATGTATGGTTTACATACCTCTACCCAAGCGTTTTACAGTTAAACAGTTAGATATAACGGTTGTTTCTCTATCAGTTGTTACTTAAATAACGTAAAGTTGCATGTGTTCTAATCAAGGCATTGAGAGTGATCCACACAAGTAACGTGAAAAGAAAACAGGACTCTGGAGCCATATACAAAGGAATGGTTGTGGGGAGGCATTAGTGTGTTGCTACCATTCAGTCCAGAACCTTTTGTCTTCTCGTATGTTGTCCAAAAACATAAAAAATAGAATATACAAAACTATAATTTTGCCCCTGGTTCTGTATGGGTGTGAAACTTGGTCTCTGACATTAAGGGAGGAACATAGACTGAGGGTGTTTGAGAACAGGGCGTTGAGGAGAATATTTGGACCATTTGCATAATGAGGAGCATCATAACTTGTACTCTTCTCCAAGTATAATTAGAATGATCAAGTCATGGAGGATGAGGTGGGCAGGTCATGTAACACGAAAGGGGAAAATGAGGAATGCGTATAGGATATTGGTCGGAAAGCCAGAAGGAAAGAGACCACTGGGAAGACCAAGGCGTAGGTGGGTGGACAATATTAGAATGGATCTTAGAGAGATGGGATGGGATGGTATGGATTGGATTGATCTGTCTCAGGATAGGGACCAGTGGAGGGCTCTTGAGAACACGGTACTGAACCTTCGGGTTCCATAAAATGCTGGGAAATTCTTGAGTAGCTGCAGAATTGGCGGCTCCTCCAGAAGGGCTCAGCTCCATGAGTAAGTAAGTAATAACTTCTGAAAATGAGGGACCACGAAATAAAATACACTCACTGCACTAGAATAATTCAGTATCTTTATTGAAATCTAATTGCAAGGACAAGATTGCTTCATCGTCATCTATACAACATGTATGCAAGCCATAATACACTGTCTGTTTACCTCTGACACAAATAATAATACAAAACAAGAAATAACTTTCATTAATTACATGGACATATTATAACATAATCTGAGTGTCCTTATGACTATGTCATAATTAAATGATCTGTTTCAGTGACGCTCCCATTCTTATTCACAAAAATTTAACGAAAGTATTATAATGAAATGTAAATAATGCCAACAATTTAAATCCAATGTACCCCACAGTCACAATAATGTCACAGGTCAGAGAGATCCACGGCGTCGACTTCAGGGATGAGTTGCTCCATTGCAGTAGCAGACGGTGGCTGTGAACCCTGCACTACTTCTCCCTGACGTGGAATATCAAGTTTCGGCCATGAACCAGGCTCTCCTTTTCGAAGCTTCACCTCAAGTTTTGTAGGAAGCATGCTGGCAACACTGCGAGTCACATCTACCACCTGCGTGACAAAGACACAAGTACAAGTCAGTATACCAATAACTTCATTTTTGGAACCGTCAAAATACCATCTCAGCAGCTACAGTAAAATAAGATATTACCAAGACAGATGTATAAAATTACATAATGGTCACTGTATCAGTGCAAGATCTTTGTGCTGTGTGTGTTCACTGTGAACTGATACTTTTCCTACCCAAGTCATTTGTAGCAATAACATCACAGGATGAAGGTTCCTGGCCAACTTGAAATATTTTGCCCTACATCTCTCTCAGAATTAGTTGTACCAGCACAAAACATAAGGCCCATAATCCTCCTCACACCCACTGTACAGCAGACACCAACATTCATAACGAGTGGAACTCTGTGTATAAGACATGGATTTCTACACTCCAGTATCTGCTACCTTATACAGGGTGAATTGTATAGAACCGGCCCGATGAATTTGCTAATAATTCCGCAGGTGACGCATATAACCGCTCACAATTACGACATAATAATCCGTGGGCCGTGCTGAGTCGAATGGTGTGCGCATGATCCGGCAAGTGGCAGCCCTTATGCTGCAAGGTCAAGGACAATGCCGAAACGTGTCTGCAGTGCGCAGGCGACAGTCATGGAGTACACTGTTGAACAGCGAGTGTTTCTAATGCCTACTTGAAAATGGCAGACACTTTCAACACCTGCTCTGATCACGGCACACAATCCAAGATAAGATATGTGTAAATTACTTTAGTATCTGTATGGTATATTTTATATTACAGCTCATTTCGTCGGGCCTGTTCTATATGAATCACCCTGTATATGTGTCCACAAAAATGGCAACTTGTGAATAAGCTTACTGCCATGACCTGACTAAAAACAGGTACCAGCACTGAAACTTCTGGTTCATGTGGCTAGTAGGTGTGCAAAACTATGGTTCCATACAACCACAGTTTCAATAATTTTACTGCTGTTCTAATAACATTACCCTTGTGTTGGATAAGGATAAGTTTAAACTTGAGCATAGAGGTTTTGTATTAACATTAACAGCATATGTTAAGTCCACCCGAAGTTCAGATAAAATTTACCAAGTTTCAAGTTCCCCACAGAAACATTATTCAGAATTTTGACAATAAAGAATAAACAGTGTGTTAATAGAAAGGAAACCAACAGATCAGTGTCACACATTAATTAACACAAGAAAAGGTGGACAATATCAGAATTCAGCTTTAACATTCAACTTGTAATCCTCCAACTCCCTTGGCCAAGAAATAGGAATATCAAAAGAGACCACAAGGACCACAACAAAATTGCAAAAACTATGATGTAAAACAACAAGCTGCACCCTTCTGTAACTAGTATCTTCAGCCTGTCCACAACTATGAACTTCATATAGAGCTGACTAATTTCAGATGCTTGGGTATATAAAATGGACACATGGCACTTGGGCCATGGGAAATCTACATCCTATACATCATGATGTAAAAAGATGGGTGTTTGTTGTGCCTGCAGCCAAATAGAAAGAAAGACAGCAATATCCACGGTGAGCACACATATGTAAAATATCCTCATTGTAATTGTATTTGTCAAAATATAGGGGGCATTACAAATGATCTATACCACTTTCAAAAACATATTTTTTGACAAACTTAATGCCCTTAAAAAGGTTTTATTAGTGTGAAGTGAAACTAGCTCTGAATGAATTTGGTAACTGAATCTTGTTTAATGGAAATTATAAACAATGCCTGGAAGAGAGATGGCATGAATACTGAAAACCACTGTCTCCTGGGTCTCTAGAGCTAACCCCCACCAATAGAGAATAACTTTACTATGACATAAACAATTTTTGTTATAAATTATACACAGATTTTATTAGACAGTTGCTTGATTGTATTAGCAAGATAATTTGACACAATTCTGTATCTATGCTTCGGCCTCAAATGGATGTGATGGAACAAGAAATTAAAATAATAATAATAATATACTGTCATGTGTTAGTGACCAGAGAGACATGAGGTTTGGCTGGACTGATAACTCTGTTTATTGAATGTTTATAATATGTAAACTACAAATAACTATAACATTCCTACTGGACCAACTACAACTAAAGCACGTATAAAGTCTTATGTTTGTTCACTAATCGCTGCTTGGTAGCGGCTGCTAACAACGCGATTCAAGACGGCTAGCCACCGACCAACTGCCTCATTTTCCTTGTTGGTCCTTACTATGTAACCTAGGCTTGGACTGAATAGAAAAACGCCATTTCTAGCTTATCTACTGTTGCATTTTGACTCACTGCTGCAGAAACAAACTGCGCTATTGCCTCGCAATGGTTGTCTCTTTTTCTTCCCCTACTCTTGCTTTCAGCCATCATATCACATTATTTTCTTTGTGGGGTCATGTTGAAAATCATGTCTCTGTTCCACTGTTACTAACAACGTGAGATGAACTGAAATGTAGAACAGATTTCTATATTGCTTTGATGCTATAAATTACCACCAAGTTCATACAACTGTTCCAGTAACATAATGCAAAATTATTTGGACTACTTGGTTCAAAATTAAATTTTAAAAGTGAATACTTGATTTGTAATAAACATTGATAGTATTCTGTAATTTTCCTTTCCTCATAATATTCAGAAGCTTATAATCAACTTCATCTTTAAAAGAAAAAAAAAATGTACATACAGCTGAACCATATGTGGGTGGGATGTGTATTACACTTTTTCTTACACACAGTTCCCTGTCTATATTCAATTCATTCTTTCAGTCATCCATCTGTCCAGACAAAAACATCTGAATTCTTACCCCACATAGTTCCAAATCTAGATTGAAGACACTCTGCTCCTCAGGAAAGAAGAGGTGCACTTTAAGTCGAATTGGATTCAACTGCACAGAGGAGCTATCTGGATCATATTTCTTAGCAAATACTGAAACAACAACATCACTGGACGTCTGATGCCAGTCGTAACGACAGCTTGCCTGCTGGTCTGCCCCCTGAAAGGAAATTCATATGTGGACAGAGAGACCACCTCACACCTGAATTAGGAAATGCATCCAAATTCAAAACAGAACACTCATGGCATGAGGTCAAATGAATTCAACAAGAAAACTGCATCTGATGTAGGATTTGAGGTTCTTAAGGTCGAGGGTGACATTCGCCAACATGGTGTTATATCGCAGAGAACAGGATTGACAGGAAGAAAACTGAAGGACTCAGCCAGCATTCAACAGAATAAGAGACTTCACAGCATGACTCACCATAGTGAAATTCAATGGATAAAATTATGCAACAGTGATGATGAATATGATATCAATGATTCATCAGGACAAATTGGTGAGTAAACTTTCTGTACCATTGTGTGGTGGAGGGGTTTCCTTCTACAGACTGTCCTTACTTGCCCCCAGAAATCATGTTAGCTGCCAGTCAAGTGGAGGACAGCTCTCTGCAAGATCTGTGCATCAAACCTGACACAACACTGACTCTCTCTAAGTTTGCGTGAAGGCAGTTCGTTCTGGTTCCTACTGACTGTTCTTAACTTACTTTGAGTGTTCTTGTAGGCTGTAACCTCTCCCAGGGCCCTTCTTTGATTAAGTCTCAAATATAGTCGCTGGCTTCCCACCACGGCAGCCCGGGTTCGATCCCAGGTCTGGTCAAGTGGGATTTGTGGTGGACAAAGTGGCACTGGAGCAGGTTTTCTCAGAGTACTTCGGTTTCCCCTGCCAACCTTCATTCCACCAATTCCTCCACAATCACCCTCACCTGTCATCTGGGGGTGGTACAATAGGCCAGAAGTGGCCGCAGTGCAAGGGACTTAGTCCCACCCCACTAGCAATAAAAAAAAAGTCTCAAATATGTTACCCTTTGTATCTTACTTTGTTAGTAAAGTGGCATGTCACTTATTTAACCTCTTTAGGATTTCAGGGATGGATTCACTCTCTAAGTGGAGTAAATATCAGAAAGTATCACAGGTTCATTACGTTGACACCAAGATGATATTTATAAACCATAACATTATCAGTAATATTGGTATTTTCTTTCTGCTAATATATACCATATTAACAGTCTTATTATATAAATAATCTGTTTAGAATAGTGTCAAAATTTACAAAAAAATATTTTACTGATTTCTCAGAGTCACTTTTTGAAGCTTACTGAGGAGCAAAGTTGACCCCTTCGGATCTGTAACTTAGATTTCTTATAACATACATAAACTACATTTTTAAATTCTCATACATTCTGATCACAGCTCGTTCTTCTTACACCATATGACCAATTCAAATGCCACAAATCATAAACTTTCAAAATACCAACATCAACCCCCTACATTGTCATAAAACTCCATACAAGCACAACTGATACACATTCCTGATTTAAAACTGATAAAACTGAAATATGGTAGGAATATATGTTATAACAAACAATATAGCACCAAATTCTAAGTACCTTACAGAAGAAATTGGCTACATAATTCAAATGCTAACTCCCTCTTCTAGGCTTTGAACCTAGGACACAAAAATGGTTATAACACCATTACGCAGAGGAAATTCGGCTCAGTATGGTATATGCTACTTAAAGTACTTACTGCACCTTTTCTTTAATCCATACATGCTTTCCTACCACACACCCCTCTTGTTCCAGAAAGCTGTTGAAGTCTGTGGTGCGTCGCTGACAACAGGACCAGAATTTGAGGCCCTCGTGGAACACCGGATAACCTGGATGATGTGTGCAGGGAGTTTCTACATGTTCAGGGCCATCGTATGTTTGTTTGCAACCTCCATTCTTGCATGACGTGCCTACGGCAATTTCAACAGCTTTGCTTCCTACAGGGTTTCTGCTTTCAGGCCTGGTGAGTGACTTCACTTGTTGCACTAAGGCTGGTGACACCTCCACCTGTAGTTCCACCTGGAACACATTACATTTTAACAAAGTGAGAGACTCAGATAACCAGGGCACCAATGTCAGCTTTGTGAAACAGACAAAAAATAAATGTGGGGGGGGGGTGTTCATTAAAATATGGTCTGCAACTAACTGGCTTTATAAATAGAGTTCAAGCTAATATGCATATTAATTAATGGTAGTCACATCCAGTTCTTGTGCGTGTCTATGTGTGTATTTACACCTTTTTCTCTAACGTACAATTTTTCTTGAACAGCATGCACAGGGAACATCTAGGCTCATAAAACTTTCCTCACAGGAGTATGTTTTCTGCAGTTTGCTAAACATCTAATTGTGATTTTTTTGCTTTTACTTGTTCAGTAATTATATTAGATAAAGAAACTGGCAAAATAAAGTTCCTTTGAGCCTGGTACAAATTTGGTTCTATATTAAATACCATCAGCTGTGTAGAAAATAAAAATACATAAGATAGAGTGCACCAAAAAACATAATTACATTTCACATATGTGCCAATGTCAGCAGATGTACGCACTACATCTCTGAACTGAATTGAATTTATTTATGTTCTATAAATCACAAGTAGGATACAGACCAATTCATAAGCTACATACATTAGTACAGTCAATTTTAGCTTAACAATTTTATAACCTAATTTTACATCATTCTCTGTTTACACTGAAGTATTCATCTATAGAGTAGGAGTAGTGAGTGAGTAGATAATTCTTTAGCACTAATTTAAACTGTTTAGTATCATTACTCAAGTTTTTTTTTCTTTTTGGCAGATTATTAAATACTTTTATGTCACTAAAGTAGACTCTTTTTTGATATACTGATATATTTGATTAAGGCAGGTGAAAGTTACATGTTACAGACATTAAAATTTAATTTCAATTTATCCTTGTTGTAAATATGAAACAAGTGAAGCAATAAAATGTATTGTAACTTAGGAGGCAGAATATTTAAGTTCTTAAATAAATCTCTTACATATATTCAATGTAAGTGCAAATTTAAAGAACCGGAAATAATTCTCAAAACATTCATGTTGGTCAACATTTGGAGAGCAACGAAACATCTCCTCCTATACCTCTGTAAGACTTACCATTGGCGACTCAAATGGTGGTCTTTCTAGCGACTCGAAAACAGGGGCCTGAGGTGCTTTGTATTCAATAACTTCGTCTGATTTAGATTTGCTAACTGGAGGTCTCTCTGCTTCCGGAGGTTTCTCGCTGTTGTGGAAAGATTTTGTGCAGCCCTGAGAATTACAAATATCAGTTTTACTGAACTGCAGTTCAACTGTTTGAGGCTTTGACAGCAGTTGTATGCTTTTTACATGACTGACTTACTCATGGAGCTGAGCCCTTCTGGAGGAGCTGCCAATTCTGCAGCTACTCAAGAATTTCCCAGCATTTTATGGAACCCAAAGGTTCATAGAAACTAAAAATGCATGTATTTAATCCACCGCTTCATGAGTTCAGTTTTTACTGCCAAGATCACCCAGACAATGGATGGAGTACCAATGAATGGATGGTTCATGTGTCATAAAAATATAGTCAATAAAAAGAAAAATACAATATATGTTGTTCTCTGACTAGCACTGAGAAAATTGTAAGGCTTTGAATAATGGTAATTAATTTCCTTGACAGTTGTTCACACAGGTATGACAAACTGTCTTTGGTAATGCTTTTCCTTTTAGTGTTGATGTCATGAGCCCCATCAATTGAAGAGGTATTTTTATCAAGTGTTCGAAAAATAACAGTTTAAATGTATGATAATTTTCAGGAAATCTTTATTTCAGTATTTTAATGTTTATATTGATGTTACCCAATAATTAGACAGCAATTTTTACCAGTTATTTATTCAATTTCATATATACAAAATCGTTTGTATTTTGCAGCCTGCATACTGCCACTTGGTTCTTTAAAAACAGTAGTGATCATTTTGCAATTTTTTTTTAATGAGGGTACCTCAGGTTTCTCACTAGTCATACATATTTTCTTGCTTAGTTGCGTCCCTCGGCCTCAGCTACCAGCTTCTCACGGCAATAGCTGCTTTGTATATATAATTGCATATTTCGTGGTCGTTGCCTAGCAAAGGGTCTACATGTCACAATAAGTTCATCTGACAAAAAATTGGGAACTTATGTCAGCTTTTCAACTATCGGTGAAATTCAACGATCATTCATACACACCTTTATATTCAGAAATTCGGTGAAGTCTGTACATTTTTTCTTACAACACGACCAACCTTTATAAGCATCATGAAAGAATGGAGCACCTGGATGAAAAGTACAAGAATCTGTAACGATATAAACCACCAACATCAGTTTTTCTTGAACTGTAACAATACTAAACATCAATGTGTTCTAGAACGTTCCACTACATCTGACCATCTAAGATTAAACATACAATAATACGTTTGAAAATATGTCCCTGTTACCTTCTCTGTTTTCGTTAGGATCAAATTTTTGGCCACATCCACGATTATAACAGTGAAATAACTCGTTCCCTTCACTCGGCATGCTTCTTTCTTCCGCTTCCACGAACGTCTACGAACTCTACAAATTCCTGCCTTTTCTTCCAAATAATTGAACTGCCACTGCTACCAAACTAACCAATTGTACCCCAAGATGCCCAAGATGCCTTTTCTTGCAAATAATTGAACTGCCACTGCTACCAAACTAACCAATTGTAAGTAGTTACTATAGGATTCTGACGATGGTGTATAACACACTGATATGTTGGGATTTTGGACTTTATCCATCGTCCTGGTTTTTAAGATAACAAATAAAAACACGACGTTTCGGAAACTGGATCTGTTTCCGTCCTCAGGTGAAGGAAAACACCTATTCAGTTGGGTCCCTTAGAAAGAGCTAGCCTCAATCACTGGACCNCAAGCACTGTGAGGACCGCGAGTAACCAATTGGTCGATAACAAATAAAACATAACCTAAGTAAACATTCGCAAGAGTAACACGTTGAACATCACAACATGTCTCCAGCAAAGTTTACAGTAGCAGTCATTTGGGCTTTATATATTGTTGAAACTAATGGTTACTTTCAAGAGGAGTCATGCCACTCTTTTGCAGGAGGTTCCGTATACCCTCAGGGATCACCGAAAAATATTGACCATAAACTAACATGGACAAAAGCAGTCAGTAAGTAATGAATAAAATGTAACTGGCAGATGTGAAGCTGTAACGTTAACCCTTGAGTGGGCGAGTGGTATATTTTATACACCACTTTAGGTCTACAGGATTATTTAGGATTATGAATAAGGTCTTCATTTATTTTAGTTCTCGTTAAGCATAAGCACTGTGATTATTTCGTCATTATTAACGGCACGGTTTACATAAGATATATTACAATAAAGATAGTTGCAACTCGTGTGGTTCACTCAAGGTATATGTATTAACTTTTTGAAACCATGTATCACAACTACAAGTTATTTGTACATGCTGTTTATATGAAACTCATTTCTATCAGTCATATTAATACTGCTTTCGTAAATATTCAGTGGTTGCGTGGTCATTGCCACACTGTGATATTTGACTTCTTCTGTTCACATTATTAATACATGTTTTGCCATATGTGGCCATCTTCAGCATATTATATGTTGTAAGAACTATTTGGGCATGATACTAAAAAACTCAGTATTACAATCATGAAGAAATTAAGAGAAGATTCAATTTTGGCAGTGCTTGGTACCATTCAGTTTAAAATCTCTTGTCTCCCTGTTTCCTATTTAGAAATGTAAAGATTAAAATAAATGAAACCATAATTTTATCTGCTGTTTTGTATGGCTGTTAAACTTGTCTTACCTTAATGGAAGAAAATAGACTGAGAGTGTTAGAGAACATTTGGGCATAAGAGAGAGAAAGTAATAGAAGAGTGCAGAAAACGTGCATAATTGTACTGTTCATACAATACTAGAAACATCAGATCTAAGAGGCTGCAGTAGGTGTGGCATGTAGCACATGTGGAAGAAATGAGACATATAAAAAATATCTGTTTGAAAATGTAAAGAGAAGATATCACTTGGGAGATCTGGGCATAGATAGGAGGATAATATTAAAATGGATCTTAAAGAGATTGGAAAAGAAGGGGTGGCATGGACTCGTCTGACTTAGGAGAGGGAACAGTTGCTGGCTGTTCTGAGCAACCTTTCAGCTCTATAAAAGTGAGGCATTTCTTAACCAGTTGAGTGACTAGTAACTTCTCAGAAAGGACGCCACTCTGTGGAATAGTTGCTATTGTTGTATTGGCTGCAGTCCACTTCACATTTTTAAAACAATTGCATTCACGTTTCTTTCAGTTTCAAAGCCAGCTCCTGACTGGGAAGGGAGTGCAGTAATTCATGGCGAATTTAAGCAACTAAAACTTTCAGACTACAGAGGAAAATATTTGGTATTACTTTTCTATCCTTTGGATTTGTAAGTATTGTTTATTTACCTCACTGTTTGCCTAAATGGTGTAATTGGTCAATTTTTGTTAAACTTTATATGTACATCAAGCCATTGGAGACCTCCCACTATCAATATTTTACAGCTCCTCGTCAAAAATCCCAGCACAGACACGTGTCAGAAGGTAATGAAACTATTGTAATTCTTTTAAATGCAAGACCTTATATTGAGAATTTTTTAAAGGAAAATAACAATCAAGCAAAATATTTTTGTGTGAAAATTGATGAATTATTGTAACTTGATATGCGATATTTACATGCTTATATAGTTTCAATATATCGAGTAAAACTTTAAGGAACATTAAGGCAGACAATGTCAGATTCTTCAGAACCCCCAGAATATGAACTGAATGTTTTTAATAGTTGTTTTCCTTTGTTACAGCACATTTGTGTGCCCAACTGAAATTCTTGCATTCAACGATCGTGTTGAAGAATTCCGAAAAATCAATGCAGAAGTTGTAGCATGTTCTGTTGACTCTCATTTCACTCATCATGCTTGGACAAACACACCAAGAAAGGATGGTGGTCTTGGGAAGCTAACAATTCCACTCCTATCAGATTTGACACGCAAAATATCTCAAGATTATGGTGTTTTCTTAGAAGATTTGGGTCATGCCTTGAGGTATTATACTTAAAATTACTTTATTATGTCATTTGAGCCTTGTTTTTCCACTGAATTGGGCCACTTTAAATGCCTCCTATTGTTTCTTTTCCTTTCTGGCCTCTGGCCTTTGGGCAAGAGTAAAGAAATCCAATTCTGACATGGGAGGACCATGGAATGTGATACAATTCTTATATTGCCAGCATTCACATATTTTTGACTTTGTCATAGATGAAAGTCCAATGGGTACCTGGGGGCACTTCCCTGTGGGTAAAGCAGCCAGAGCATGATGCTGATCACTCACCTCCATCTAGTGCCAAGATAAAAAAACATTGATCTATACATTTGCTCCCCCATATGTCTTCATCTTCATGGCGTGGTGCTTTGTTAGTTAAGCACAGGGACAACTTTACCATAAATGGAAAGTTGTGGAAGACAAATGAGAATATCCACACTTGGCCTAGCAGACCCTGACATGGAAGGCCTTACTCCTAAACTTTCACGTTGCCATAAGTTGAACATTAAAGAAAGATCTTAAATTGTTCTACATTAAATGGTAATTGCACTGCATTAATATTTCTATATAAATTATCTGATAATTTGAGAGAAAATATAAGTTATTTACTTTATCTACATTAAGTCAAAGATAATATAAGAGTGTGTTAAACATTAGGTGGTCAGTTATCTTTTGAATGATTAGATAAAAATAAGGTGAAATATCTCAGGTAATTGTTTGTTACACTTTGCTTCAAGAATCATGGATCATAATGGAGGTTTCCGTTACTCTCTGTATTTACAGATCCTTTGCAAGTCATATTTATGAATATAACTTCACCCTGCAATTGTTTAACTTGATTTAAAGGGAATATCATTTCCCGTGACATATTTGTAACTGGTTGAATAATAATACACTGTTATGTTATGTCACAATATTACTAATCTGTGCTGACCTTGGAGCCCATTTTGTGGTTGGCACATGAGTAGTAGTCCAGCTGGTTGGACATTCCATTTTTTCAATGCTAATCCACTTAGGCCCCCCATACACACACAGTTTGGCCTTCCGATCAACCTTAGAGGCAAAACTTTCACAGTTTGCCCTCTCCCATTCCTTCCCCATACACCCGCAGATAAACAGGCAGGCTTCATGCCACAGTCATGGTCTTCCAGCCTATATTGCTGAATCACACACGTCACATGCTGTGGTTCTACAGGTAGAACTGATGGACTGATGGGTTTCCTACAGGCCAACATTCCAAACGATTGGCTGGCCAGCCACACCACACTCATCAGTTTTGCCTTTCAGTCTTAAACTGTGCAGGCCGAACAGAAGGCCAAATTGTGTGTGTATGGGGGCCCTTACACTTGTTACTGTTTCCATGTTCTTCACAGAGGCTACCCTCTGCTTGGGTATAATGCATATTCATTAGTGTGTTTACATTTCATGTGTCATTCCACATAGTGCTTGTCAAGTCACACCTTGCCATAATTTTTAATTCCCCTTTTCAGTTTTGTGTCATAAACAAACTATACCATCTGCTGTGGCCCTTTTATTCAGTTACATTTTGCTGGTCTGCCCGTGCATCATAAATTATTATAATCAGATTTGTTAAAACATGTTGGCAGGGGCCTTTTTATCATTGATGGACGGGGGATATTACGTCAGATTACAATGAATGACCTACCCGTTGGTCGCAGTGTAGACGAAACACTACGGTTAGTCCAGGCATTCCAGTACACAGATGAACATGGGGAGGTGTGCCCAGCAGGTTGGAAACCAGGACAGGAAACGGTGAGTACTAACAAAAATGTCATACCTTTATTTATTTTTGTGTTCTCTTAGGTACATTAGGACACATCTTATTAGTTTCTGTCACTTGTACATGATATAGTAAAACTCTGGTCCATGTTTTCTTATTAAATTAATCATAAGTAGTAACCTTAAAATTTTATAATTTCATTTCCCTCAACATTGACTGCCAACAGATCTGAAGTAAGACTGACTGATCTTTCAAAAGTTGTTCATGTATTTAGAATTTTATGTAAGAAATCTTCTCACATTGCAGGAATACCTCATGAAATATTCGGCACATTATAACTCTCATTAGAATGAAACATAGGAATTGTTTTAAAAATTGTACTCTTTATGTACCATGGTGCTCTACCATATTGTCACATGTTAGTGACTAAACACAGGGTTTGGATTACCAATTGGATTTTTGGACTCTTACAAACTGTAACTACAATTATAGCACTGTTGCAAATTCATGCACTTTGCAGTTCACTACAGCACACATCAAGTCTCTGGCTTCACTAGGCATTTCATGACAATGGCTCCCAACACTGCAGATTCATCAGCTTCCATGTTCATGTACTTACCACCTACCAACTAGCTAATGGTTCCTAATGGCCACAATTCTTAGCCATGTCTGGCCATCACTGGCTACTACTCATTCGCATACAAGCACTCACTTCCGACTCACAACTCGTCTATCTTGTCTCTCTGAATGCCCCAGTTGGCTCTCTTTATATAGACTCTGCATGGACCCAACAGGGATCTCAGCCTCCAACAATTCCTCTATTGTGTACCTGTTGCAGCAGTTACAGTATTTGGTTGACATGGAAACCTATGTACAGAGCCATTGCCTAGCAACAAATGTCTTCTCTGGCTTTACAATTCTGGCATTGAGCAGACATGTCACAAAATGTATTGGATTTCATATACTGTGAACACCATAATATATAAATGTTATGTCAGACATCAATCATCATAGGTATATTTAAAATACACTACATTTCAGAAGCTGATCTGCTTCCATCATCAGGTGTGAGGGAGAATGGATCCTACTCAGTTGAGCCCATTGGAAGGACCTGATCTTGATCACTGTGCAATAAAGGGAGTTCTAAACAGCATATACAGGGCATTTCCATCCTTTGTGTCATAACTTCGGTAGGTTATTCCTGCGGCCGTTCTAAGCCAAAAGTGGTTTATCAACGTGGGTATGAAGATCATTGGTTACAGAGCTATGAGTAAGGAATATTAGAAGCGGCCTCCGTAGTCTAGGGGTAACGTGGGTCCCGTGTCGTAGATTTACGGCATGTAAAAGATCCTCATGTCTCTAGGAGACCTCTGAGCAAAATTAGGCAAAATGTTTCCTGCCCAAGTAGTTTCAAATGCCTCCCGGTAGATGGGGAAGTTATCGGGTACCACTGCCAGTAGAGGGCCGACCTCGCTGGCAGAAAGGGGAGATAGCGGGCGCCAGTATCGGTAGGGTATGGCGACAGTAGAAATTAAAGGGGAACATACAATAGACTATTAGTCACGGTGCATGGGGAAACCCACCCCCTCTATACTGAATAACTGAAGGAATATTAGTGTGTCCCAAAGACAGCATTTGGCAACAGCTGCGTAGAACTTCTTGCCCTGTGATCAAGTTCAGCTTCTTCTAATGGGTTCAATTGAGTAAGATCCTTTCCCCCACCTATGTGTGATGGCAGAATTGGATGCAGCTTTCAAATGTGATGTATTTTAAATGTACCTAAGACAGTGGATAACATCCGGCATACTATTTATATAGTGAATATATCGGTCACTAACCTCTAGAGGATTACTGTCAATAGTTACAACTTATATAGTATGCAAATAACTGTTCATTTGTTGCCTTTGATTAGCAATAAATCATTGAATATTTAATAAAGGTCATTTTGTGCACTTTCACATTTCACATAGATGTTTTCTTTTTCTAGATTATACCAGATCCTGTAGGAAAGAAGAAATTCTTCCAAAAACAGAAGGATTAAATTTGGATACAGCATATAAAATTTTAGGTTATCACACTGGTAAAAGTTTATAGACCATGACCTTGGAGACTGCCACATTGTATAGAAAGTGTTGTGCCCTGAAGATGGTGGCCTGAAGTTCGTCTAAAATATTGGTAACTACCTGCATGGTGTTGCAGCCTAAAAGGCCAAATAAAAAATTAGATAAATTAATTCAGTATGTGAAATGTGAAGAGGGACAGAAATTGAACCATTGACTGGAGTGCATTTACAGTGAACAGTGCAGTATTTTGGTTGTACCTGGTGCTTTATTTGCATACTGTGAGATTTTGTTAAATAAGAGCTCAACATCAGCTTTTATTTAGCTGTTTAAATATTGCATACACTAAATATTTGATTTGTTTGAATAAAAGTGCAAAATTCATATTCCATTTAAAACCATGAACTTTATGCTAAATATAGTGAAGGTTTAGTTGTCCCTGTGCTTAGTTAATCAAGCACCACAGCATGAAATTGGATGGGGGAATGTTCGAAACTTTGGCACTAGACAGAGATGAATGAGTGGTCAGTTTTATGCTCAGTATGTCCAAGGGCCAGTGTAGATGCTTGGGAGAAATCCCTTGCCCCTGCCAGAAATCATACCCTGATTTCTCAGCCATGCAGCCTGTAGCCTGTCACTATACCAACTGAGCTATACCCTGATTTCTCAGCCACACAGCCTATAGCCTGTCACTATACCAACTGAGCTATCCCTGTCCCATGTTAAATATAGTAGTTGTCTGTAATACAAATGACCATTAGTCCTTATGCATCAGTAAACCCACTTATTCCTCTGCTAGAGTAAGAAAATTCTTGTCTGTTCCCTGAATGAATCATAATTGAGCTTTCCAGAGCTCCGTTTTAATACGAGGTCTGACAATAAAGTTTGCAAACTCACCACCATGTGCTTGCCATGGCAGCAATGGACAGAAACCTCAGTATGGTTTGATGGCATTGGCATATCAGCATTTTACATCTATACTGTTGTTGATCTATGGCAGTCTCTTTCTGAGTAGCGTCTGTTATTGTCAAGAGTGTTTTGGTGTGTCGTCGCAGGAAATTTCAGAGACTGAATTAGAGCAATGAATGAACATTAAATGTCCTGTTAAACTTGGCAAGAGTGAAGTGAAATCAGAGAGATGTTAGTGGAACTTTCCAGGGATGCTATGANAGAAAACAGCAGTTTACAAGTGGGTGACATGTTTCTCTGAGTGAGGAGAAAAGAGAGATCAGGTCAGCCAGCAATGGGCAGAAATGAAAACATTTCAAAAGTTTGTCAAATTGTGTGTGAAAATCATCAGCTGACTGTCAGGAACATAGTAGAGCAAGCGAATATCGACAGAGGTACAATTAGGAAAATCTTGACAGAAGGGCATGTAAAAATGGTCCCAAAGCAGCTTGCCAAAGAACAAAAGCAGTATTTAGCTAGTAAACAAATAACTATGCTGGAACACCTTCCCTGTTCACTGGATCTAGCCCCCAGTGACTTTCTTCTGTTCTTGAAGATAAAGGAAATATTGAAAGAATGCATTTTGATGACCTTGAAGACATCAGGGGGTAATATGATGCAGCTCTGAAGGTCATTCAACAAAACCAGTCCCCAAATTATTTTGAAGGGCATACTAGGCGCTGGCATTGGTGCGTAGCTTCCCAAGGGGAGTACTATGAAGGCAACTACAGTGATATTCAGCAATGAGGTATATAGCACTCTGGCTTCACCTTCATTATGCCTACCCATTGGTATTGGACATGTGCAGTTTCTGCTACACAAAAAGTTGATACCATATTGACATATCACTTCTTATGGTAGCTGACGAGCAATTACATCTTGCTTCCATGAAATAGTGACCTCCCTTAGTTTTAACTTATAGATTCTCATATTATGGATTAAGTGGGGATATAAAAATGCAGCCACACATCTCCCATTAATATGTAGACAGGTGATAGATTTGTTCATGTGATATTTACTGATGGCTGAGTGATGCTAGTCTTACCACTCACTATGCATGCAACCTATTCAGAATATTTTTGGCTAATGTCATGACCTTACAACTTCTTTAACATAACCCTTTGAGATGCTTTGTTTTGGTGCCATACTTTGGCCTCAGGATATACCACAATTGCAGAACAAAAACCAGCAAAGCTCATCAGGCACAAGTTCAGTGAACTTAATGAAAAAGGAGGATGATTATGTGAGAGAGACAGCTGCAGTATGCTGATGTGTACAATACTAGAATTGTTTGGTATAGTGCTTATATTCAAACTTTTCTTTTCACCCAGTAATTTTTCATGTTTCTTTGTGTGTGTACAGCAAGTCCCCAACTTTCAGTTAATTTGTTCCAAATGTTTCTGTTTAAGTCCAACAGTGCTCAAACAAAATATATTTTTTGACATTGTACATCCCCATTATCTGTGGATTCATATAACTCAAACCCATGTATGTCAGGGACTTGCTATGAGGAAATACATCAGACAAGGGTTAACTGTAATTCCAGGAAACACAGCAACATCTACAACAGGCTGGAAGTAAACTCTACAAAACAAAAAAAAGGGGGTTTTTTAATGCAAACACACACATATATATACATGACAGTCCAGAAAAATGTACTCACTCTTTGATAGTCAATATCTTTGGAACACAATGACATGTAGTTACAATTCTTGCGCTGTAGTGTAATGTTTTCTCAACAGCTAGCGAAGGTCACATGAGTCATGTGAGTGTCATGTCGCATGCACACTGTGAGCAGAAGACAGCAACAATAGCTGAAAAGTTGTTCTTTGAGCAACGCAAGGCTATATTGAAGTGGTACTGGAAGTACGAAAACATTAAAGAGGTACGACAATGGCAGAGTGAGTTTGGAACTTGGCCACCAACATGTCGAACAAGGAAGTGAATCTGCCAGCGTTAATGTGTGGTGTGGTCTGTCATCGCACGGTTTCATTGATCCTTTCTTCTTTGAAGGTACCTTAACTGGTCAGGTGTATCTCGATATGCTTCAGACATCAATTTTCCCTGCCATTTGAGAGCTATTTGGAGATGAGAGATTTTACCTACAAGATGGTGCTCCACCTCACTACCATCGAGATGTCAGGGTGTACTTGGATGACACACTACCTGGAAGATGGATAGGTCGAAGAGGTGCTATGGTCTCCAGACCTAACACCTCTCGCCTTCTACCTATGGGAAACCTTGAAGGATGAAGTTTTATCGACAAAAGCCAGCTACACTGAATGCGCTATAAGAAACCATCGAAGCGTCCTGTGCAGCCACCACACTGGACACACTGACAGCTGTAGTTCGCTCAGCAGTTCGGCAGCATCGACGCTGTTTAGCCGCTGATGTTGGTCACTTTGAACACATACAATGACTCTCTCTCCGCGCAAGAGTTGTAACTACATGTCATTTTGTTCCAAAGATATTGACTATCAAAGCTGACATGTTATATGAATGAAAACAATAAGTTGAATTATATTTTTAATGCTGACCACTACCTCCCAACCTTCTCAGTTTAAACATAGTCTGTTAGATATTGATGTTCTTTACAGTAGCTTCTTCTTGCTCTTTGGACTGGATAATGTAATGAGTTGCACTCTTCTGGGGGTTCTCTTATCCTGCCCAGGCATGGCACCAGATGGCAGTGGTGAAGCAGGGGATGTAGCATTCATACTTGTTTCCATGGATTCACATTTAGTTGCACACCTACTTTCCGTCGTCAAGCTGCCTATGCTTTCTAGCTCACTTGATGAAATGACAGGATCTTCATTTTTATGAGTGACAGATTCAGTTTCTGTATGCATTAGGTCACATGATGCTCCCCAATTTTGGGTATCAGAACTTTTCACTGCATCCATTTCCCCAGTAGATTCAGCTGAAGGCGTTTCATTAATTAAAGTTTTGTCTGATGCTGGCAGAAGCTTTATGCAGGTGCCAGACTCACTAGGTGGTCTATTACAGCATTCAGATACTGCTTTCTCATATGGAGAGCATTGTGAAGAGGATGGAGGGATTGTTTTTGAAACATCTACGATATCTCCCAACTCTTTTACTTCATTTGACTCGGAATCCAAAGACTTGGTGGATGTAGATGTCATGGTTGGACAAATTCTTTTAGGTGTCCTTACCAGTGACACTTCCTTCTTCCGTTCGGACACATCAGTGGAACCCAAGGATTTGGTTAACACTTTTCTGGGGCTTGATAACAGGACTGGTTTTATTCTTCTATGAATTTTCTCTTGTTTAGGAAGACACTCACTTATTCCACAAGAATTAGTTCTGAAACTTTCATTTTTCTGTAAATCTGGAATCTTTATATACTCTGACTTTTCTTCAGTGTTAGAACTTACTTCTTCTTCAAAAACAAGTGGTCTGGGTGACTGTTCCACTGTTTTGTCGTATTTATGACTGTCAAGTTTGTTCTCAGAAGCACAAGACTCTACAGCAGTATCGTTGCTGTGGAGTTCTTGTGTAACCAAGAAACCTTCAGGTTTGTCTGTTCCTTCAGACAATTCTATTCTTGCTGTCTCTTTGGAGACCTTTTCACTGCAGTTACCAGTTCCTTCAGTGTCTTCAACAGCTCTTTCCTTACTTGTTGGTGTCTCTTTCCTAGGGGCATACACAACCCCCAACTCTCCAACAGCAAAAGTAACAATAGAACAGTAGCCATCTGTAGATGAAACAACCAGCATTCTTCCACTGCTTGACCTAGAAACAAAACATTTTACTTTGTTGACAGTTTGAAGAATAAGATGAGACTAAAAGGGTGTGCATATCTGATGAGAATGGACTTGTACAGAATCCCAAGGAGAGCTGGACAAAGATGAAAGCTACTCACCAAGTGAGATCTGTGAGGCGAGTATAGTGGATGTTCGAGACAATACCAAATGGCTCAGGTTGCTGTGTGTCATAAAGTAGCACAGAGTTCTGAGTAGCCACTGCAAGTATCATCCTGTATGGCAGTGCAAACATTGACTCTCTATCTCGCAACTCAAAAAGCAGGGGACAACACCGCACTGCTACCGTGTATTGGTTATTCGAGGGAAGGTATACAGCAGGCCTGAAAAACAAGTTCAAATTTGTTAGTTATCTGTTGTGCCTCTTAGAAGATGTAAATATGGAGAGAAAAGATTTACATACAGCCTCCAAATGGTGATAAATTATGCTGACTTTTGACTACAGAAATCTTTACCTGTTAAGCATGCGACGTGTGAAAATGAATGCAGCATTACTGCTCTTATCACTATCGGGGTATTCAATAATACCAGAAGGCACAATTAGGAGTTGTCCATCTGGTGAGAAGCAGAGTCGCCGGAAGAAGGATTTCAGCGTGTCATCATGGAACAAGCGCACCACCTTGCCATGTAGGTGAGAACTGTCAGGAACTGGCAATTGGGCCTTGCTAACACGACTCACCAGTTTTTTGCTGTTGACATTGTATACTCGACACATCCTGCAATAAGAGCTTTTCATTGTTTCTGAGTTTATTTAATAGTACTTCTGAACTACATAAGTTCCTCGAAAACAAGATACGCAGCATAACACACAAGAATACAACCCAGCAACACAAATATACAAGCACATCAAGGGGACATGTTATAACAACATTAGCAACACAAGACAGCAGTTTCTTTGCCCAATAATTTTAACACCTGATGGTGTTAAAATTGGTTGAAACATGTAGTGACAAACTTTAAATAAAAATTTTATAGTGTTGCACATGAAACTGTTAAAAAACTAATCGATACAAATCTTCAGTATCACAACAGATACCTCTACTTTTAGCAACACTTGCCTATCACTGCTTAGAGTGGCCACGTACTGGTTCAGAGGATCCCATGCCACACCTTGCACGAAACCCTTGTGCTCCTTCAGCAATCCAAGATTACGACCTGCAAAAAGGAATGCGACTGTTTAGACATGCAGCTTGCCATAGACTCTGAACCATGGGGCAGGCCTGGTATTCTCCATCTTCATAATAATATTATGCTCATGGCCTCTTCAGGTTACAGAAATCAAAATCGTTCCTTCTTTCTGTCAGACACCTGTCATCTTCTGCCATTTCGTTTACAGTGAAGGAGTAATTTTCTCCCCCAATGTTCATCTGTTTCTGTGTACAATTTGCTTTCTTCTTTGCTCCTGTAATTAATGTTCCATTAATATAAAATTGATATAATTATCTTTAAACTGCTTTACCTCATGTAGTAATGGTAAATAAGGAATTTACATGAATGTTAAAATTAATCCTTTGTGAATACCTTTATGAACATCCCATAAAATGGCAGAATTGTCAACAGACCCTGAAATAAGATTCAGAGAATCTGGTGACCAGGACAGATCATAAACATCTTCCATGTGCCCCCGAAGAACTCTAATGCCCAGCCACTGCTCCTTTGTTATGACATCACTGTCCCCAAGTGGAAGCTCTGGTGCATCCTGATCAGTCTTCTGTTTCCAAATGATAATCGCAGACTCTGTAAGAACACCAGTAACGAGCCTTTAGTAAAGTCCGATTACCCATCATAAACACGCCTACAAATTCTGTCTAAAAACATTTTATTTTGTGGAATGAACTTACAAGTGTGATGTAAACCTTCATATCTGTGTTAGACAACATGGAAATATATGCTAGATAGTGGGATTTGTGCACAGAGATTACATGACTAATTTTCATAAATTTACAAGACCTTTTTGTTGAAGGGTTTAAAGCAGGCATTCAAGTCCAAGTTACATTGGAACTGACAGTCAGTCAGTCAGTCAGTAAGCCTTGGTGTCGAGCCCCATCTGAGGCTCATGACCAGATATTTATTACTGTTTGGGATTTACAGTCTTGTTTTTGTGGGCGCCTTCTCTGACGAGAGGACGGGTCTGCCTTTTGTATATGCTGCTGGCCTTTGCCAGCGCAGTCTTTCTTGTGTCCGAGTCTCTTGGGACACGCGACCATTTTTTACTGTCTCTGATTTGAAACTTCCCTTTTTGTCACCTCCTACAACTAAAGCAGGCATCAAAACTAACCTAAAATATTTATATATTTTCAATTATAATTTTTGTAATATTCTATGTCCAAGTATGTTGTAAAATTTCTGTATCATGGTAAAGTGTGTTGTAAAATTTTTGTATCATGGTAAAGGGGTGATTATTTTCTACATCCTGCCAGCTCCATAAAAGGAATTCATGAGGCCCTGTCTCGTGTACATGAATTCTAGTACTAGAACCTGAAGACTCCATAGTGATTACACCAAAGCTTATCACTGGACATGACGGTTTAATCACATTCTCACAACATATTTCCTTGTGATTTGTTTTATGTTCTCAACTCTTTCTCATTTTTCCATGTGACCACTCTTCAGGCAGTTTTCCACACAAAATTTTGGTACATATTTTTTTATCTCCAAGCCACATATCACTCTCATTTTAATAACTGCCAGATAACATGTAGAAATAACACTGGATT